AGTTAGGATAGATATACAGCTACTTTCTCTTAATTCATTGAATAGAGAGATTTGTTCTAATAGTGTCTGTAGACAGGATATCATGTCTGCATCTTGTAAAATGAATAACCACTAAGACAATAATATGCAATGTATTAATTATTGAAACTGTGCTAGTAATCAGTTTTGAAACTGTCTCATTGCTATTTGTTTCTCAATAAAATTATTTTTAAAAAATGGTAATGTGTTTTAGAGGACACCAGGTTAAGTATAACCTGTTAAAAAGATGTTGTTAAGGTGAAAAACCTATCAAAAGCCATTGTTTTGTTTTTGTTTTAATTTGTGCTCATATTGGTTTTGTCTTTTTTACATTAGACTTTCTTACAACTACCACCCGCTATGGTAGAAGAAGGGGAGGAAATTCCAAGCCAAGAAACAGAACTAGAAACAGAAGAAGACGCCATGGCTGCTCAAGATGACATCATACCCAGTCCAGCAGATGCCCGCTGCAGTCAGGAGATCCCAGCCTCTCAGCCTGACACCGCCTCTGGGCAGGCTAAGGCTGCCCTTGATCAGACTGAGATGACCCCTAGCCCATCAGAGGTCACCCCTACTGTGTGTGAGATGACTGCAACGTCAGCAGGTCCTGCTGCTGCACAGGCAGAGGCTGCCACCCCTCAAGATACCACACCCACCCTAGAAGAGACCGAGTAGCCAAACTGCAGCCTTCCTGGGAGGCCATTTCACTCATACAGTTACTACTTTATAGTTTACATTTGCTCCTACTGTTTAAAAGGCACTAACTGATGTTCAGTCCTTTTGTTAACTGGTTTTGTTATGTATAGTTCTTGTACATATCTTTAAAAATTGTATATGGACAACTCTTCTTTTTCATTTGTTAAGTCCGGCAAATAACCATTCCCCTGGTATTTTGATCACTGAAAAATATATCTGTAATCCTATGCACATTAAAATAATTTTCTGTAGAATATATAAGACATACTTTGTGTTTTTAGAAGTAGAGTTCTCTAAAGGAAAAAGACAGAACATGCTGGATTCAAGCATAAATGCCCTGGAGCCACTGTCCGCAGTAGGAGGAAATTGTTTCTGACATCGTGCTTAAGTTGTGTTGCTTTTTTTCTCACTTGCCTTTCTTTCTGTAAAGATCAGCAGCCATAAGATAAAGTTTCCTCTGATGTATTAAAGAGGTTACCTGTTCTTCTTCCCACAGAATCAGAGGATGTACTAGGATCACTCAGAGCAGTGGCAGTGAACCTACAGCTCGTGAGCAAGTGAGCCTAGTCACCCAACAGCATCAGATAACAGCTTTTTTTCAAGGTTTAAACTTTAGTTTTCAAATCTAATTGTAGTGTCAACACTTTGTGATAAATTAATGGGCATTGGGTTGCAGTTTATCTAATAGCCTCATCTCTAAAAGGTTCACCATCACTGACCTAGAGTGTGTGCATATCTGTAGGGCCTGCACCTCAGAACTGGTGCCTCAGATTCTCATGCCTAGGACAGCATCCCTACCCTAGTAATATTTGTGTTGCTGATAGAGCAGCATCACATAGGTCTGTTATTCTGTAACAGAATTTGTCATTTGGCTAAGTGGAAAGACTAAGGTCATTCTGGCAGGAAGCAGGACTCAGAGTCTGGAGAGTAGAGCCAGCGAACTGAACTTTGTGAAGTCTCTCAGTGCAGAGCTTCTGAGTTCTGCGGTAGATACCCAGTCACAAAGAGACTTGCAGGTCAAATAGGATCCAAATACGGGAGGGGGAATCCTAGGGCTTGCTACTCACATGTGGTTAGCAAACCAGCAGTATGCGTATCAGATTAATGATTCTTAGAAATGCAGAAGTGTGGGCTCTACCCCAGATCTGTTAGGTCTAAGTGCATTTCAACCAAGTCCTAAGGCAATTCGTATGTACTCTGTTTCAAAAAATGCTGATCTGAAATGACTGTGCTGTCAGCATGTGAGTGAGGTTATGATGGTAGAATCTGCAGTGAGCGTGACTGATATTTTCCAACAAGTAACCTCTTCCTACAACAAAGCTGAGCATGGTGGCCACAGCAGGAAAAAAGTGATGGGTAGGTAGGTATGTGTGGGAAGGGAGAAATTACCCACTTTCCCCCATTTGCTGTTTTGGGAGGAAAAGTTATCTGCTAGGGTGGCTAAGGGGTGGACTATACTGTATCCCCTGAAGTGTCACCCATGTGTAGGGAGTCTATAGAAATAGGCAGAACTACACTACTATTGAAATTTGCTCCTGAGAACTTGAAGGAATGATCAATTCATAAGATAATTAAACATAGAAAGTCAGTTATTTTTCAGTGACTAGAGTTTGAGCCACTCTTCTAGGCCATGATAGGTATGATTCCAGCCCAACCCTGTGTCCTGCTGAAGGAGAGCACTTTCACGTTGCCTGGAAATGGGATGAAGGGAGAAGGTAATGATGGGGTGAAGCCATGGAAGCCTCCCTGGGCACTGGCTACCCCTTTTCAGAGTAAGGTGCAAGCCAGATACTCCGTTACATAACTTCTCGGAGGTAAAAATTGGAAAGCAGGTGTGGGCATTTGAGGAATTGCACCCACGGAATTACTTTCATTTGTGAGTGTGGTATCAGGCTAAGCAAGAGGGAAAGAAGCTTTGCTGTATTACCATCTTTCCTGGAAAAGATTGATTATTCTCTCTATCTTTTAGGAGATACAAATTATACCTGTAAGCAAAATAAGCAAACTGTTAGGCAGATTTCCCAAACTATTTTTCTTTCTTTTTTTTATGAGCAGAACATATTTATTGAGGGAAAGAGAGCTCCTGTCTGAGGGACAGGAGGGGGGAACTGAGTGGGTTGTTTGCCCTGAAGCTGTCTCTTCCAGGGACTTTGATAGTGTAAAACCATATGGGGCTAAGGTGGAAAGAGTGGGAACTTGCTTAGGGGGACAAAACTATGATCAACCAATGGGATTACAAGCACCATTGCTCAGGTAAAAGTGATTAAGTACAGGACCAAATGGGGTAGCAAGGGATCATGAATGTAAAACAGGACCTTATCTGGTAGCCATCAGATAAGGATTCTTTCTTGCTTTCTCAGGGTAATGGCCAATCTGGGATGCTATTCTTTAGTGAGGTCAACATTTGTTTGCTTTAGGTCTGGCTCACAGCAGAAGCATTGGTCCCTCCCACAGTTGTAAGGCATCTTGTCTTTTGTGCTGTCTCCTTTGAGGGCCTGGCCCTGTCTGACGGCCTATAATATTTTTATCTAGCTCAGCTGCCTGCAACATTCCCCCCTCTTAAGAAGTAACCCGAACTGCTGTGAGGGGAGCATGGATGATGACCGCTCTAGCTTCTTCAGGCTGAAAGGGGTAGTAGTTGTTGACTGGCAGATTCTTCAGAGGTTCTATTTAAAAACCCTCAATAGATGACAGACATTTTTCTCTTGGGTGGACATACAGCTTTGAATCTGGAGAAGACAAGGCTGAAGAAACAAACACACATGGGTCAAATAATCACAACAGGGTAAGTATGGAAAAGATGAGTTAGAAATTTTTGTACGTCTATTAGAGATCTCTTAAATGTGAGGTTTAATCTCTTTTTTTTTTTTTTAAATCTTCTACGGCCATTGTGTATTGTTTTAAACAAACTGGCCTTTTCTGTTATTACTGGGGCACATGAATTGTCAGGCCTAGGGAAAACACTGAGTATTTTTCAGTTTGCAAGTGGGCCACTGACTGGGTAACTACTAGTAAATCTGCATAAGCAACTATTGAAAGTGTCACAGGCTTTCTCCATATATTGGCAATTAACATGGGATTCCTTAGGCTGAGAGAGAAGACACATGACCTTATCGATCTGAAACTCTGATTCTATAATGAACACTTTTTTTTTTTTCTTTTCTAGCAGCTTTGGACAATTTTCCTTGAAATGTCCCTTCTCTCTGTCTGGATCCAGGGAAGCATAACTTTTTCCTATCTCCTGACTGGCCTTTGTTTCTGTAGTATGTTAGTATCACTATTCTCATTTTCATCTATAATTCCATTCTGTATCCTTTTTACTATGAAATACTTTTTTTTTTTTTTTTTTTGCTCCGAATGCCTTCAGGGCAGGTTTGGCTGGCTGGAGTTGTGGGGATTGGACCACAGCAACCTGAGCCTGACTGCTTGATGAAGCAGCCACTTAAAGAACTGAGCTAGGGCCAGGCCCCCCTTGATTTTTTTTTTTTTTAAACACTTTGAGCAATTTTTATCAACTGAGACAAATTTATTTCCGTAAGCCCTTTTTACTTCTGCAGCTTGTGTCAGATCTGGGGCCTACTGAGTGACGTAACTTTCTAGTTTTAAGGCCTTAATATGTGTCTTTATATTCTTTATAGACAAAATCTGGTGGATCCTAGTTAAAGGAATTTTAATCTAGCATATTCACTATAGGTTTTACATGTATGATTACCTGGGTTTTGGTATCTTCTAGGAAAGAGCAAATTTTCTGAGAAATTAGAGCATATATAATCAAAGCATGAACACGCTAACAAGTACATTTATAAACTTTTTTGAGACCTAGCCATAGTAACTCCCTAGCTCTTAGACCCATTTATTCATGGAGTCTGACAGTTTGTTATAAGTCTAGCTGTAGTTAACAGACATCACACCTATGTTAACTGTGAGCATAAAACACCTTTGTTTCATGCTCACATCAGAAATCAACCAAATTAACTTACACACTTATGAAATACACAGCATTTAGTCAGATTAAACCAATGAAATACCTTTTAATTCCTTGTACATGAACAATATATATTACATTTGTAAAAACTAGTCTTAGCATAATTATGATTAGTTAGCATCCTGAATATATTGTATCTTAGCTAAGCTAAAACAAGATGTCTTTTAAAGTCTCTTTTTATTGAGATACGATGACTAGAAGGAAGGTCAGGGCTGGAGAAGGACAAAGAGACCTGTGCCAGTATCCAGCAATAGGCTGGGTTTTTCTCAGGGCTCCTCCGTGGAAATGGCAGGTAGAAATAACAGTCCGGCCAGAGGGAGGAGGCAGGCCCAGGGCACTTCAGTCCTACTGGACCATCTGGGAAGCTGAGTCTGAGCTCTGCGACCACTGCCTAAGAGTGCAGTCTCACTTTTAGTGACTGCCTTGGCAGTCAGGGCATGGCTTGTGGGCCTCTTAAGGCAGTCCTTCTTATAGTGGCCTGGCTTCTGACAACAGTAAGAGATGAACCTCATCAGCAGATGAACTGCATTGTTGTCAAGTGCTTCTTGGAGCCCAGAGAATCAGACTTAGGGTCTGTTTTGGGGCTGCAAAGGCAGCCATATTTTATCTCTTTATTTTCTCTCCCTGGTTTTCTCTCTGTTCCAATTATAGGACACTTACAGTTTTCACTACAGTGTCAAGTGAGTTGTCTGGAGCAAAAGCTATCCTTTGTAGCTCTTTTCTAATATGTGGAGTTGACTGTGTAACGAACTCATCTGTAAGAGTCATCTCCCTCTATTTACTAGTATCTCAGGAAGTATGTCTTACCAGTGCCTCTATTACATATTACAAGAAATCAGAGGGGTGTTCATCTTTCTCCTAGTAAGTAGCTAACATTTAAAATAACTAAAAGGCTTGGTTCTAGTTCTTTTAGACCTTCAAGAACACACACTTGAAAGAAAATGTCTTTTCTAGTTTTCCTGCCTGGCTATTGTGCCAACAGGGCTCTAACTGCTTGAGCTCCAGTGGAACAGGTAGTTCCATTGGTTGTCTATCTTTTGACTCTTTAAAATTAGCAATATAATAGTCCTCTCCAAAGGCAATAGCAGCTTGTAATGCTGCCTATATTTCTATTGAAGTTAAAGCTTGGTTTTAAGATTAACATTACATTTTTCCAATCTAGTTTTTAAGTCTGAATAAATCTTCTAAAAGAC